CTCGGAGGGATGGAGGGCTTGGTTAGCTTGGGCCGGTAGCGATCCGGGATTCGATTCTATGGTAGCGCACCATTGCCGCTATACCATACTCGTCATTGTAAAATCAATCAGGAGATAAATAAAAAATAATTGATTAAATTAGGTGCGTTTAAATTATCATAAACAGACCCCATTCAGTCTGACGGTAACACTTGGGTAATAATATTCCTCAAGCTGGCTACATTTGCCTGGCAGGTCATGGGCATAGATGCAACCGTAATGAGCTTTACTGTTCTTCTTCTCTTGCGCACTAGAATCCAAGTGGTACGTATTGCTTTTTATAAAAAAATATCTCAAAGACACAGTTCACGATAATTTTGAGGTACCCTTTTTGAGTTGAAAAGCGGAAGTATCGGTTAGTAATAGTGTATCAGTGATGAAGGAAGCTTGAAAATTCGCCGGTTCGTAAAAAATAAGGTTCGTCAAAAATAGTGAAAATAGAGGTTGTACGAGATTATCATGACGGAATTGACATGGAATAGGTATTCGGACGAGATTTTGATTGTTGTAATTTCGCAAAGAGCTGTTTACATCAAGCCAAAACTAAGAATTGCCTTTCATTGTCGCTATAGATCATGACAAGTTCTTTGAACTTCCTCTAGGGGTTCCCTTGTGAATGGTAGAGCCTATACAGTGCTGGTGAAACTCGTCCACGCATGCACATGGAACAATTTTTGTGTCTCTATAACGGCCTATCTAGACCGTTTTCCGACCTGAAAGCGCCACCCATGGTACCCGATGGGGCCACAGATTTATGATAATGTGATATCTCATGAGCCATTTCTATCGTGAACTGTACCTTTAACTGGAACTTCCCATTCTATACATAATGGTAACACTCACGGTTCCACTATATAAACACAAAATGGAAATAGTCTTGCTTTTGGATATCGATTACAGGCAGTGACGTCGAATCCTCCTGTCGTATTGTTTTTGCCTGTTGCACAAATCAGTCGATCCTTAAAAGTACAGATCTTTGTCGTTTTGTTATATTGTTTTTTGTACTGTGAAACAACGGATCCAACAGTAGCCAAAATGAGATTTTCCACGTATTCGCCAAGGTCGCGCACGAAGCCGTGAAAACAATGAGCTCCCGCGCCCAGCTTTTTCGTTGTATTGGCGACTTACGGCGTTTTCGGTCATCTGTTGTCTGAAAAGCCTCAACCATCAGGCTGTTGATACGCCTCTGTGCTTTACCGAAAAATGACAAGCTACAATCGTTCTGGAATGGAATTGTACCCGAACAGCATCCCTAGGTCGTTGCTTGTCAGAGCGGACTTCCTCAATCTGACTCTTACAGTGCTCGCTCTGACAGGCGACAATAGGGTGACATTCCGTTCGAGTACAAGAATCCACTACCCTTCTTGCCATTTGTCCAGCTTACCCTTGAGTTTGTCCGTACTTCGGGTAGTAGAGTGATGCCAAGAAATCTACAATGGAAGTGCACTGGACGCTCGGGATTTTTCTTCACAGAGCGCGATCGGGTGCGCTGAGCCAGGTACCGCGTTCGGGTTCAAAATACCAGACCACCCATTCTAATGTACAATCAAGTGTGGGATCACTACCACAGCAGCACAGGGAAGTAAGTCCGATCAGCATAGCAGGTGGTTTTCCATGAAAGCACCCTTATCACAACTTCCACGGTACAGGTGGAGATAAATAGATAGGCAAAAAACCACAAACAAAACCAAACCCCACAAAACAAAACGACAGACGGTTGCTCCGAATTCATAGCTTTAGTTAGGGGCTGTCGATAGCGTTGACTGGTCTCGTTCAGGGATATACCAAACGAGTCCAGCTTCGCTCTCAGCACGCGGCAAATCTTAACTAGTTGTCCCGCCGCGCACCATGTCTCAATTGATTGTCTTTATCAGTTGTCTCGCCGCCTATCAAGATGTTCTGGACTCTTAACTGTAGCTCGACGTTTGAAGTCAGCCCAGTCGGATCTGGCGGGAACTGAGCGGCTAGGTTTTATTGTCTTTTCTTCCTCGGGGTCTTTTGGAACTGCGAAGTTCTTAATCTTGCTCATAGTTGCCGGTGGTATCAGCTTTTTCGATGCAAAGGGTAGGTACGTCGGCTGAGTCTCTAATGTGATATGAGTTGTAGTGATAATGGTTTGAAGGAAGGACTTATCGTTTAACAGGTCCAGATTGACCTATCTCGTGAGTGAGCCTAGAGATAAGCATCGATTTTACGCGCGCATCACCCTTGCTCATTTTGGGGCTCGTATGTCGAGTTACCGGTTCGGAGCGAGTAAGGCGTCATAGGCTTGACTGATACCACGTGTATAGCCGCTCCTTTGCATATGGACTGGCCATCTGGGTTTTCTTAACAGTTCTGGTCCCAAAACCCAAAGGACTAGATGACTAGATGACCGAATCATAACGCTTAGTTAAAAGTTTCTCCTCCGACCAGGTGATGCTGAAAGGATTGTTGTGGGATAAAAATACCGGGCGTTACTCTTCCACCTCGTTCAGGTTCCGTTTTTCCTTTATTATGTTCGGTTCTTAGCACGGTGAGATCGGAGGACTAGGAGGAGATCATTGATGGGCAGGTGCCCATCAAGACTCCTAACCATCCTTGGGGAGGTCAGACCTCTCCGATGGACGAGCAAAGCGTTAGACAACTCACCAGCATCGTCGCTCCAGAATTATCACGTCCAGCATATTGACTGACTGATTTGACGAAGAGAAACATGAGTAGAAAAGCAACCATTTTCTGCATATCTATGCATATAATAATGAAGAATGAGAGTTTCCAAACGCTTAAATAGTGTTTCTGTTTTGAAGGTGATTTATGACTGGATAATGATACTAACCATTGCAGTTTAAAAGTGAGTAGAGTTGGTAAAGCAGGTAGGAGATGTGAGCATTGACGGTGGCTTTAGCGAATCAGTGGCTCTCGGGCACCCAAAATGGGCAAGTTCACTGGGTACCCACCCGAAGGTACGGGTGAGATTGAACTACGAAACAAGTGCTTCCTTACTGCACAATTTCGTACAGAAAGGGCCCAATGGAAGGATAGGGCCTTGACTTTAACGAATCCCGTTTTGGGATGCGCCATCTCATTCAACTTCCATTCGCAATTGTAGTGCCGCTTTGAATCTGTACGTGGCCTACTCCATATCTGCATGGCCAGCCGATGTACAAGTCGGTGCTTATATCCTCTCAGACGAACCTGTTATCAACTTACCGAGCCCGATGAGTTGATACTTGATTGGCCCGGAAAGTTGGTCCGGATGTCGATTTCTGGGTTCGCCCTAAGGAAGGAAAAGATTACCTCAAAACTTATCAACATAGTTTAGAGGTAACCACATTCGACGATTAAGTAGAGCCAGATCACAACCCTTGGCTTGTCGTATTAATCTATCCTCGAGGTTTGTCGAAGGTTAATGAGGAATACCTTTCTATATGGGCTTGTTTTATAAGACGAAGTGGCCTTTTTTCCATAAAAAGAGCTTCCCTATGGTTATTCTGGGTGTAAATAGTCCTTAGAGCGCTTGTGTGGACAAGATGATTTGTATGGTTATGCTGTAATTTCGAAATAACGCCCCATTCAGAGCTACATTGTCCACCAACATGATGGCATCGTTTGTGATCAATCGTCTATTTAACCGGATCAACCATCTGGATTATTGATCTGCCTCCTTTACTTATTTATTTTTTGATTTTCATTGCCATCTGTAATCGTCACCATGGAGTAGTCCGAGTCTGGCCGACAAAGTCGTTTTTTTACTACGTCAGAACTGGATAGTCCAGTCCATGGCTTCCAGCTCATCAAAGCAAATTTGTTAACTCTGGATAGTTAAGATCATCAAGGCAGCTGTCCTATTGCGTTGGCCGAATGTAAACTTAATTGTCTGTCCGATTTTGGATGGAAGGTGGCATGCGTAAATTGAATGATTGACCCAAGCCACCTATCATTTTGGAGTCGTAGCACTCAAACAGGGTCTTTCGAAAGTAATGTCGTCCGGAACTATTTATTGAAACTTCCAAATCAAAATTACAGAGGAGCGCATTGTCCTTTGCAAGTAGCTCCTTGGCGGTCCTTCTGCGTTGGCATCAGGTCGTCTCCGACTTTGTATGTGACGCGACCGATTCCATCCAAGGTTACCTAAAGACATTCTTTTTATTTCTCGAACTAGCGTCCTTCAAAAGTGCTAAAGTAGATAATTCAAAAGTAGGAGTTAGGAGCGGGTTCGTTTCTCTCGTGGTCGGCTGTATAGAGGCTCACAAGGGCCTCTGAGTTGTCCACAAAAGAGGCCAGCAAGAAGTTGTACTATTGGTACGAACCTTAACGTTGTGAGCAAGTTTGCCGGCTTCATCATAAGTGTCAATTTCCCAGTCCTTCAGGCCACATTCTTCGGGTTTCTGATGGAAGGTGTTCTTCTGTAGTTTCTTTGTGAACTTCCATCTGTAAATAAGCGAAGTCCTCATTGATAGTTTGGCTTAAGAGCAATTTTATGATAAACGGCTTCTTACTTGCCCATTTTCATGGGGTATTCCTAGACCATGCATCAGAAAAATTCGTTTGTTCTAAGGTGGAGTCGATGATGGAAAATTTTGCAAGGAATTTTCGTGGAAGACCCTATTTTGAGTAGTTGTTTAGCTTTTAAAGGGCTCATGCGTTCTCTGACGGTTCAGTGGCTGTTTTCATAACAAAGTTGTGTGGCTGTTGTCACGACTTTAGCAGCACCACAACTGAAGTTCACTCGTTACCCATAAATCTTTCGGAATTTCCGGAAACCAACTTATTGTTAGCTTTTCCCGGGGGCCAGTTACTCGAAGAAAGGACGAATCTCATGACACCGTCATAACTTTACTGCCTCTCCCCGTTGCTGTGCCTGTTAAAGCATTTATGTCATCCTTTCAGTTAAGTTTTCACTTTTGTTGAGCAACAAAGGCAAAAATACCGAAGAAATGGAGTGTTGAGCCACAAAGGCGTTGAGCCACAGAGGCAGAAATGCCGAAGAAACGGAAACGGTCCTAAACGATATGGCACGCGATGAGACAACTAACTAGGACAGCATGGACCTGGAGCGTAGCGTGGCAACTAGCTAGGAGTCACCGCGCGTTGCGGACAAATCGAAATAGTCATCGCTTATTCTAATACCCTCCCTGATCTGTGTTCGATGTCGGATCGATCGGAAAGGTCGTCAGAGACAAATTGTTAGGGCCCTGGGAAACCCCGACCTAAACTCAAGCTCGACATGGTTAATTGCACAGAACCTTTCCTACAAATGCCTGTAAACTCACTTATCGCTCTTCTTTCCGTTGCTGGCGGTGACTTGAGCTGAGAACTTCTTATCCGTGTCGGACTTGACGTGTACGATGATATCACAAGCGAATGCGAATGAGATGATGGCCAGCAACAGCAGAGCGGAACGCATTCTGAATTTATTGACTAGACGATCAATGGGAAAGAGAATCGTTACGAGCACAGGGAGATATGATGGAAATAGAAGGCAGACGTTGACGATGGGAAAGAGACGTAATGGTTCTGTTTATCGCATTCCATCGACAGTATTTCCTTCGAAACCTCAGTGCACGGATTTCGAATAATTACCGTCAACCGGTTGTTTATTACGGGCGATGATGCATCGATCGTAATAAACATTGAAAAATTGCGTCGGTTTTTCTGACAGCAGATTCAAGGTTACAGCATTACCGGTGGCTGAGAGGGCGGGGACAGATAGATGAGCCTTTTGAGCTTTCAGTACCGACTGCAGTAAGTCAACGATGACAAACTCATTCCTAGGGATGTGGTGGTAGAGGAAGCCGTGGAGTGGGCTACTCTGATTCACTGCGTTAGTGAGTTTACCGTGGTGTAGTGACCCAAGGTTACAGTGGATCCAATCGAACCAGTTCGTGTTTATACCAGGTCTACCCACCGTGTAGTTTATGGCCATGTGAAATGGGCGCACATAGCTGCAGATCGCCCAAGTAGCTCTTTGGTTTAGCAGTGGGTTTTACCAAGAGGAATCCTGTCGCAAAAGTTCTCTCGGCAGAAAGGGGCATTCAAAATGGAATAACTGAGGAAAAGTGAATACCAATAGCATAGGAGAGTCTTTTTGTACTCGGAAGAAGGACCACCGTGTTTGGGTAAACAATTTACCGACTGGGCAAGCAAAACCTGTCTAATAACTGATGGCATACGCAGTGGCAAGGTTTATGGTCACTTCTGATGTTTTCGAACTTGTTTAGGTTAATATCCGGTTTTGCAAAAGGGTATGTCACCTCATAAGGAAGGTCTACTGTGTTAATCGTCCCATTATCCGTGATTTATGTCATGGTATACCCAAGGGCGATTATTACATCCCAGACGGCCCAATGGTTCCGTCAATTAGGAGCAGACGTTTTTCGTTGCGGGTATGCGATTGATTGTCAGATTTCATCAATGTCAAATATCGGGGGCGATTATAAACTTGTAAAACCAATTGTAATGCCACGGATTGAAGTATGCTGTCAGGGATTACCATTATATTGCCCTGTTGCCGGCCTGCTTAGGCTGCTCATAAGTGGGATCACCAAAAGCGTGTGGCAAGAACTTCTACCTTGAACTAGCGAAGGTGTGACTCATCCTGTATTTTCTTCTTATCTAGAAGGGCAGGTCTTCGAAGAAGAGACTGGGATCTTTTCTAGTTAGGATTTTCGGAAAATACAAACTTTATTCTTAGTGTAAGGTTAATATAGTAAAAAGAGGCGACGCTATCACACACAAGCTGAAAAGCGAGCCTCGGATCGATTCTGTTCAGGTCCTCCCTCTTTCGGTGTCGTCTGAACGAAATTCTATGCGAGTCAGAACTGAGATTCTTGATTCATTTTATTTCGAAATCAACGGGGCCTAGCCCTCTCTCTTTTTCAAAAATTCGTAATCTTATCAATAAATTTTCTTAGTAGACGTAGAATAGGGAGAAGATGTGGCACTTTTCACAAGGCAAGAGTATTTCGAGGAAATCGTGGCCCGATTTAGTTCTGCTATAGGCTTTAACTGGAATATACAAACTCTGATATCACTCGGTAGAGCTACCAGTCTTAATACTTAAACTGCTGGTACAAAAAGATTTTCACGATGTTGGATTACTTTGAGGTGCTAGGCTAAGCAAACTACTCACTACTGGTTGTTTATTGTAAGACTCCCCTTGAGGTTGGCTAGACAGTTTTGGAACTGACTCCGTAAGATCAGATTACTTCCTAGGACTTAATGGGGTTTTGGACCGAGACGGTAGCTCCCAGGCCCTATATTTGCCATAAGTATGCTAAATACTACATTTTTACCCACTATTTTTCTGTTTTGAAACTTGTTACAGAGAACCTTCTTTACAGGTTGTTTTCCCCTTAGCTCAGAGTACGGGTCTCTACTAGTTCATCTGTTACATTTCCAGTAGGTAATTGAAAAATGAATGTCGATAATTCAAAAGAGGTTGAGCGTTCAAAGTGAATTTGAGGTCACACAGAGTGGTCATAAGCGAACCGGTTAAGAGCTCGAATGGCTGAATGAACGACAGAGATTCAATGAATTTCTGCGTTGCAGCCGACGACGGCGGCCTTCACAAAATATTACACACTGTCGGAGGGATGATTAAGATGTTTTCGCATTGAGAAGCTGTAGAGCAAGATAAATCACGGGAAACTTGGGATACGGAACCATTACGAGGTCAACTAGTACAACCGGAAATGGAGAAAATATTTGTAAAAGTCAGTTCAAGGCGTCGTCGTTAACTCGTTCTCTCAGTTGAGAAGGAACTTTACGCACAAACTTTCAATTTTGCGAAAGGCGAAGGCAGTCCAACTATTGGATTTTTTGCTTTCTTTGTTACCTCCCTACCAAGTCGAGGGCCTAAGTGATCCTTCGGTCAAACATTGGTGAAGGGGTAAGTACGGGTTTTACAAGGCCTGATGTTCTTTTGCTTCCACAAACAAACCCCATGGAAAATAGCCAGTACCTAGGTCAATGGTGAGCAACAGCTATAAAGGGAAAGCGTCGACTGACGTTCTCTGAGCATAATGCGGCTTTTGCTGTCTGTAGGTACTGCAAGACCATGATCTGAATTTCTGAGGCATATCAGTAATGCTTTCGTTGAGACAACCCCTCCCTTTCAAAGCCTTTGGGTAGAATTTCCAGAAAGTGCGTCAAAGCCATCCCTTGCAGTGGATCCATTTCACAAAGCATTGAACTCCATTTCTTACTCTTCCAGACCAGGTAACTTAGGATCGACTGTTTTCAGTAACTCAAGTCGAAAGTCGATGAGCAACTTGCAAGTACAGACTTTATTTTTTTTTGCGAGTTGGGACTCCTTCGCTCGCCAGTTCAGGGCAGATTTTTGATGCTTCTGACTAGGTTTAAACAAGCCCGTGCTCGTTGATCAGGCTTAGTATGTAAGTGCTGATAGCTTTTTATGGTGGCTCCGTCAGGGTGTATCAAAGTGTAAAGGAAGTGTAAAAGGGAGATGATTGTTCTGCTATAGATAGATGTTTTTGTTCGATGAAGGAGCGATCAGATAAATTCTGCAGCTCTGTGGCGAGATTGCAAATATTTTTAGTTGAAGCTCGAGCTGGATCTGCTATGAAGATCCATTTATTCATGCAGTAGAGGATACTGTGGAAAGAACTTGTGCGGGGATGCTTTTTTTGCTGGGATGCATAGTTTCCTGTTACTTAATGTATTTCTTTGTTAGGAGGTATCGGGCATAAAAAGGTCTCTTACCAAAGATTTGTGGACAGGAAAAGAGACCTCAATGAGGCGGGTGTACAAGAACGCCCGCTCGTGCGTACATATCTTTCCGAAAAAGTAGAGCTGTGCAGACCGACAGGCTCCTGTTGTGGTACTAGCCTCTCGACATTACTGTAAACACAATTGTTGTTAGTTACCGAAAGGTTCCTTTGATACGCTAATTATAACCCTGCTTTTTGCTCTGAACTTACCGTAAAGCGTTGCTTACTACCCCATGATTTTCTAAGGGTTGCAGACTTCCCAATCTGACCCGAATTTCATGCTCTGAATCACTAGAGCCCTTTGAGGGTTTAACAACGTTTCATTTATTTACCCTAATTTCCAAATATATGAGCCTAAACAGAAATCAAGGAAAAAAAATCTAAAATTTCGAAGCACAGTCTCCAGCAGTCATTTTTCGGTAGTGTTTTAGTATAACTACAGTGATCAAGACCGGTTTTTCAGGAAGACTCTGATTATGCCGAGAAGGATGGAATCATTGACAACTTCTGGACGAGAATTTTTAGACATGTGTGATATGGAATATGTAGATGGAAGCGGTTCGTTTATTTACCATAACTGTTCCATGGATTATTTTTTTTTGCCAAAATTAAATTAGTTGCATAGTAGGACAAAATACAATTGAATTCGCGGCATTTTCTTTGCCTCTCTATTCATATTATTTATTATTATAATACATTCTTTACAGAATTTGGGAGTGTGATAGGCCTCGGCAAACTGTCTACAGTTACATAAACATGCCTATTTTCGATGAAGAAGGTCATGAACTGAACTCCCTAGAATAAGTATTTGGCCCGTTGAGGTATCGGTTCTAACTGTATCATTTGCCCTTTCGGAAACCCTGTTCCACGATTCACCATATCGTGGTAGAATGAAGGGTATGGTAGGAGAGCATATGCTCGATCATACCGGAGATCGAACCGTATAGCATGCCTCACCTAGGATCCGGTACAGCGGAATAATCTGTCGCTGCCCGCGCATGCGGTGCATCCGTGCGGCAAATGTCACGGATAATAAATTGCTCGAACGATTCCTTTGCCGCGTATGTCACACTGTAATATCGCATCGGAACTTAAGGGTGCATATTCCAGTGTAATGTTTCTTTTTGTAGCACGAACCTTCCGATGTCCCCAGGGTAAAGCATAATAACGAATAGATAGCGTTTCGGTGCTGACCAGTAGTTTTGCTATACGTAATACCAATTCAGAATGGAGCGGTTCGGTAATACACTTTGACTTTTGGCCGGCTTTTGGCATAACTTGCGCGGCTTGCCAATGTCGGAAGAAGTTCTATTCTCCCACAAAAATCTATTGCCAGTTCGACTTAGGAGCTAAGAACACGTGGAAGGCCCCTGCTCTGGAAGAAGAACAGCTTTGAAAAGTGGAACAGAAGCAGCAGCTATTTATTTCCTAACTGAAACTTCACCGATTGGCTGTGGAATTCAATCTTCGGACCACGATAGGGTTAACAGAGAATTTCCTTCATAAGGGACCTCGTTACGGCAGCAACTTTCGAAATGGCCATATCAATTCTTTAGGGCTGCAGGTGGTGTAGCGGCAAGCGGCGCTTTATCTCACACGCACGGTCAGGGTTTCGAATCCCGGATCGATACCCGCCTGAAGCCAACCAAGCTTTCCATCCCTGCGAGGTCGATTAATTGGTAGCAGACTCGTCTGGGAGGATATAAACACTGGCTTGTACATTGGCTGACTTTCCCAGCCCGTTGTATAGGCCACACACGCATTCATAACACCACTACGAATCTGAATGGAAGTCGAACGGGTGGGCGCATCCCTCAGACGGGGTTGATTGAAGCCACAAGGCTTTATCCATTCATCCTATATCAATTCTTAACCTTTTAGGCCATTCAGTGGAAGCTCTTTCCCCATCGGAAATCGACAAAGCATCATCCGATACAATTCAGCCGAGCGGAAGTGATACCGTGGAATCCGTCCAATTCAATGAGAAAACCGTTTCTACACCTTCTGATGTCGTGTTTGAAGAGGAGCAAAGCAGTGGTTCAGACATAGTGTATGAAAGTGTTCCGGCTGGACCTTCATGTTCCGAAGATATTTCGACAGTTCCCGAAACACCAGAGTCAGTTGTACTGGAAACGCCACTCGAACTTTATTCAGAACCGGTGGTTCGTATTTCAGAGCAACTAATATACTCTAATTTTTGTACATTTTTTTTAAAGTGATTCGACGAATTGCTTTTTCAGGCTCGCTCAACTCCTCGGCCTTGTGATGATGTCGTTGGATTTCGCATTAACCCAGGCGAGGTATGGAATCTTCATGTTTGTTACATAGGGCACGGCTTGTCCCGTCAGGTCCTGGGGGAAGGTTGCATAGATTGCCGATCGCCATGCAGCCCACTTACTAATTCCTGGGACTAAACTAATATGTTTTTATGCTTATCAATACTTCCACAAGAAAAGGAGATGGTACACTGCGAAGTGGCGCACTACCATACTACCATACCTATTGTCCGGGAAAAGGTATACCTATCGATATCCATCCAGTCCAATCAAGCCTTCATCTCTACGGGATCGCTTATTTGGTACCGGACCAGGGGTTCGAGAGAATAAAAGCATGGGCTTGTACATTGTATGCTCCCCGCAAGTCATTGTGGGAGCCACATGTTCAGTTAAAAGACTACTACGATACCGAATTCAAGTCAAATGCGGAGGCGCATCCCGAACATGAATAATTACCGTCGAAGACTTCATGCTTATCTTTTTCAATGGGTGGTTTTGATACCGAAGACAGTAAATCAGCTCTGGAGGCGAAGGTGGCGTAGTGGCAAGTGGCGCACTTCACACACGCGGTTACGGGCTCGGATCCCAGATCGATATCGGCCTTGGTCAACCAAGCCTTCCATCATTCCTGGTCGGTTAATTGGTACCAGACTCGTCTGTGGGATAAAAGCACTGACTTGTACAACGGCTGGCCACCCCAAGTCATTGTATAGGTCACATACGCGTATACAATTCTGAATTTAAGTCGAGTGCGAGGCGCATCCCTCGGACGGGATTGATTAACGCCCCAAGACTTTGTCCTTTTTCCTATATGTACTTGAGTAGATCGTATAGGGGGGG